GCGCAGTGTAGCGCAGGCAGCAGGCCGGGGGTCGCTGCCGCGGGGCAGGGGGCTGTGCCCCTCCAGCCCAGCAGGGGAGCCCTGGCACGATACAGACGCCAGCACAGAGAAGCAGGGCGGCTGGAGTCCGGCCGTTTCTGCCCCAGGACCCATTTGTAACCATCCACGGGCAACTTCCCCGCCGTGCCCCTCGCTTCTAGCCCGCTGCCCCCAGTGGGGGCGGGGGGGGCCAAGCGGGCTGGAGCTGCGGCTGCCTGCAGGGGGCAAGTGGCGGGCCCCCGCGTTTTTCTCCCGTAAAGAGAATCCCTTGTTTTAGTTTGTTCCTGGCCCTCGACTGTCTTCCTGCCACCTGCTTTTGGGGCGCGACCGGCAGGTTGAGAAAAGCGGAGTCCACTCTGCTGCCAGAGACCAGCCTGGCGTGACAGCGCTTTGTTAGGGAAACAGACTGGGGGCCCTCCCTTTACAGAGAAGGTTGAGGGGGACCTGCGGAGGCTAGAGACCTTTCTTGCTCTTGACGGGAGTGTGCCATGAGCCCAAATTTAGGGAGTGGTGGAATAAAGCGCTGGCATGAAACTCCTTCCCTACATGTGTGGGTCTACCCAGGGATGATTTTGTAGCCTCTGGCACACAGCAACTTTTTTATTTTGCTGTCAAATGGCGGGTGGGGGTTGCTTGCTGTGACCCCTCAGGCCTGTGGTTTGTAGGGGAACAGCACAACCGTAAAGTCTGTGGGGCTTCATTCAAGCCAAATGGATTACGGGGGGTGGGGGCACGTGCTGGGTTTTGTGTCCCTTCAATGACTGGCACTAGGTCATTTAATTGCTCCCTGTAGAAAAACAGCTACCTTTCCCTCAAGTCCTTTTGTTTTCTCTAGGAGGTGATCTCAGCAGGCCTTCACTTTGTCTGGCTTCTCATTTTTGGCCTGCTGAAGACCAACAAAATGTGGCCACTTACACACTGAATACAATGTCTGGCTGACTATGGTGCTGTGCAATGTTGGGGCAGATAATGAATGAGCACAGGAAAAGAAAAGCAAGCAAAGAGGTGGTGAGGAAGCTTTTCTTAAGAAAAATGGGGTGGGACCCGAATGAAGAAGAGGAGACCAGGAACAGACTGAACAGTGCCAGCATACAACAGTGTAAGAAGAGGCTTTAAAATGACAGGGAAGGAGCGGGGGGCGGGAAATTAAAACAAAACTAAATGCAAAAGATTAGAAAAGCTTTCAATAAATAAAGATGCTGTGGAAACAAAAACACAAGGACAGGGACAGAGGAGGCTGATGAATGAATAGGAGAGTAAGTTGAGGAATGCAAGAGGGATGAAAAGGGGAGGTGAAATATCTGAGTTTCTTCAGTAGACTGTGACATGGAAGATGATAGAAAAATTCCTCAGAGAAAGATGTAGAGAGAAGGACAATATAGTTAGACTTTTACTTAATCTTAATTCTTATGGTTCATCATTTAAAAATGTTGTAATTACTTTTCGTTGGTTTTCTTTATAAGTTTGAGCAACTTTGCTTCTTGTGAGAGCTAATGAGCAGGCTAATTACAGGAGTGGTTTTGTTTGGCTAACTGAGAGCAAACTTCAGTGCCCACCATGCTGAATGTGCTGTCGCAGTTTGATTTGTATTTGCATGAGGATAAATAGAACAGATTATATCTCTTGAAAAAACAGATGCTTACTATTTCTGCATGTATACACATGGCGCTGTTATAGAGCTACCTGAATGGTGGCCCCTTTTGTGATAGGTCTTTGTTGCTGTTTCTTATCTTGGGTTGAAATCATGGGCGGGGGGTGGTTTCTTCTGCTTTGTCTAGGTTCTTGCTGTGGTTTTCTGTGTAGACCTCTGCTATTGCCATGCAGACCATGTCGGTTGGAACCATCTCCCTTTTGATAGTTTAACACACCCTCTTAGAAATCCAATACATAAATTACATTTTGGGCTACAGATCAGTAATCCTTACCAAGTGCTGTGCATTCATCACAATAATAAAACTTGCCTTCCTTGGAGGGATGTTATGAGTATTGAAGGGCTCATTCTGCCACTCTTGTTTAGGAATAGTTCTATCTCAAGAAGTATGGGTACTAGAAAGTCTTCCTGGTTTGTGCAAGATCTCTTTGAATCTGCTTTTGATTACTGAGAGCCAGATAAACACAAGTCCTTGTCAAAGTGCTATAGTGCTTGAAAAATAGGGTAGAAATCTTGGCTTTATGGAGAAAAGCCAAGACAAAAAGAAAAGGAGTACCTCTGGGGCTTGAGCACCTCTTGCAGGAGTCTTGGGATAGATAGAATTTATAACAGTGTCGTGCTAGGATGCCATCTGTCAATTTGATATTTTTTGGACTATTGCTGGTTTGAGGCTGGAAAGAGATCAGTGGGAACTTCCTGTAGAAATCAGGGCATGGTCCTTGTTCTTTCTGGACTCCGTTTTTGATAATAAAGACCATCTTTTATAATTTGAGTGCTTAGTTGTTAACCAGAATATATGAATTGCAGTAGAAAATGAAAGATAACAGGTATTGTCTCTGGGAGTGTAGAAGAGTTCGATCTTTAGTTGAGTCTGCTTACTCCAAAGAATAGTTGACATACTTTTCTTTCTCACAACTCTTATAGACAGCATTTAAGGAAGAAGGTATTTTGAAGTAAAATAATGAAGAAAATAGTCACTTTCAGCGTCAAACTAAAATGATGCAGTGAGAAACTAAAAACTGACTGGTTGTTCCCCAGCCTAGCTAAAGGCAGGGCTGTGCAAAACTTCAGTCAAAACAACGTATGAAAACATTGAACAAAACCAGCTTCAGGACTGACCCTCTGGGGCACTCCACTTCATACTGGCTGCCAATTAGATATTGATTCATTGACTACTACCCTCTGAGCTTGATGACAGAGCCAGTTTTCTATTGACCTTACAGTCCATTCATCCAACCCATACTTCGTGATTTCTCTCCAGCTCTGTTACTGACTAACAGTGAGCTCTTCAACAGGTCACTTAATCAGCTACACACAGGAGTTTGTTGTTGGGATAAGCAGATATGAGTCCAATTGAAGTCAAGGGGAGTTGCACCTGATTATTGAAGGGCTGAATTTGGACTTACCAGAGTGTATAGATTTCTTTCAGAGGTAAAGATAGCTTCACATCACCCTTCAGGGGCAAATAAATTCTGATGTTAATGTTTGAAATATTTTTGTTTTGGGTTGCCTTTTGGTAAGCATCATCAAAGTTGCATTATTTGTATTCAAGAGAAAGAGTAAAGGTGAACTTCCAGGACTTGAGTCCAGGCCCTTGGGTATGTTGTGTTTCTCCAGCAGCAATTGAGCTAATACATAAAAAAAAACAAGGTTAGGAATGCAGTTTCTGCTCTGTTTTTTGTAAGAGAAACATCAAGTGTGAGGAGGGTCTTCAGGACCTGACAAGCAAGTGGAGATAGTGTAGGATTTTTTTTAAGTCATGTAAATTTAAGTTTTATTTCCAGGATTAGCTTAACTGCTCTCCTGGAAATCCAGTTGGTCCTTTATCAGCTAGAGTTAGGCTTCTGAGTATGTTTGAAAATCCCTCCCTATGTAGGCATATATTTTAAAAACACATATCAGTATTTAAAATTTTAAACCTGGAGTTCTGGACCATTTTGGTATTTATTTTTAAAGATATTCCATTTCACCTGTAACCAACAAAACATTGCTGAAGCTACAGCTACTTCACTAAATGAAAGCACATAGGGATTTCCATACCATGGTTTGCTTAGGTCTGTATTCTGGGTCTTGAGAAATACGTGTATTTTTGAAAAGTTGTATAAGAAACAGGGCATGTCAAAAGTGATCTATCCCCTGTCATATGCTCTCGGTTACCAGTGATCTGTGGCTAGAAATAGATGTCACCAAATTAATTGGATCATGTGTGCCAGGTTGTGTCTTGGCACAGCTGTTCCCCTTCATTGGGTGAAACAGTGACCCGTTTTCCTACCTGTTGATCTTACAGAACCCTGCTTCCAAAGATGCACCTCACAGATCCTGGGGGCATCTCTAGAAATGAGGAAAGTTGGGCAGATGCTGGATGGCTGAAGGCTATGGGCAGCTCCAGGCTGCTTGCACTCCCCTGGCATAAAGCAAATAAATATCCACCACCATGAAGCAGCACAAATTATTACTACCTTTTGTCGCAACCACTATCTTCTGGGTATTTCTGGTATGACAAAGGGTATAGACATCTATTTACTTTTGCTTTGTGCCACTGTAAAAATGTTTATTATGGCACAAAGGGAACAGAAGGCAACATCTGTTTCCACTCATAGGTTTAGGGATGTCCTGAGCCTACAGTTATGTTCATGATTATATTTAATAACCCCTGATAGACCCATTCCCCTTAAATTTGTCTAAACCCTCTTTGAGGGTCTGCTTAGTTTATTGGTTTCCACAACTTCCCGTGGCAGGGAGTTCCACAAGTTAATCATGCGTTGTGTAAAAATGCACATCCTCTTCTTTGCTTTATACCTGCTGCTTGATTTCATTGTCAGTGCTCTAGTTTTGTATTATGAGATGTGAGTAGCAGTTTTCTCTTCATTTTTCCTATACCATTCATGATTTAGAGTAAAGTACTTTTGAATAGGTGTATAAGAAACAGGGCATCTTTCTTCTAACAAATTCTACCTTGGTACATCTTTTCCTAGTCTAACATATCTACAAAGGGGTAGATATGTTTGTTATGCATGTTTATTTTACTGCTATACTGGCATCTCTTCTCCTTGTTCCTGTCTGTTTTGTTCACTCGTGGTTTTCTTTAAAATTAAGCTCCTGATCCTGCAATCTGATCTTTCCCTGCAGCCTTGTGGAGCACTGCTGACTTTGAGGCTCTGCGTGAGATCAGAGGCTCAGCTCTGCGTATCCAGTTGCTGGATAGAAATCTAAAATTGTCAAGTCTTTGAGGTAGAGATGATCTTTTAATATACATCTATACAGAGACGACCTGTGCAGGGCCCAGGGCAAATCAGCCTGTGTGGGGCCCCGCCCCTGGACACAAGGAAGCTGGCAGCGGATGCAGGGGGGGGCACTCCGCCTGGTTCCACGGAGCCTGGGGCAATTGCCCCAGTTTGGCCCCCACCCACGGATGGCCCTGTATCTATACAGCATTTAGCACAGAGGTGGGCAAAACACTGCCCATGGGCTGGATCTGGCCCACCAACTGATTGGATCTGGCCTGCAGGTGGACATCCACTAGTTGGTTGGAATCTGGCCCACGGTGCTCTGCCTGGGGCTGAGCTGAGCACTACCCAGGCAGCTACAGCAGCAACAGCAACAGCCCCATGTGGGAACGGGTAGGGCTTGACCCCGTGCAGAGCGCTGCAGGGGCAGCTGTGGGCTGGGTGGGGGCTACTGTACATGCCCCCTGCCCCTCCCCTCCCCTCCCTCACCCACTTCCAGCCAGCTTTCAGGACCTAGCACTTGTGCACCCACAGTCCTCCAACCCCTTCTCCAGATGCACCCCACCACCCCTATAATATACAAGAGTAAGGCTTTATTTTTAGCTATTATGCATTCCCCCTTATATACACTAGTCAAAAAAACATGAATCAGGAAAAACATTTTTTTAATTAAATTAAAATATGTTACAGTAAATGGTTGATTTTTAATATATGATTTTTTTTCTATAAGTTTTGTTAAAATCATACCTTCTAAAAGGTCTTGTGTACAGTCCTCGACAGCTCACCAAAACTCATTAAGTGGCCCTCTAGCCAAAATAATTGCCCACCCCGGACTTAGCAGACTAGCAGCCCTAAGCTGGGTACACCCCCTTGCTGATATTATAGTATAAATAGTGTTATAATCTCTTGCTGCTATTTATTAGTAGTAAAATTGCATCAAAACCATGGGGCCTGAGGAAGGGCACTGGATGCCTGAAAGCTTGTCCAACAGATCTCCCAGCTCTACAGTTGGTTCAATAAAAGTTATCACAAAAAATCCTTGCCCATCAAAACTTTAGATCAGTGATTCTCAACCAGGGTGCCACAACACTGTGAGGTGCTTTGAGATCCTTTCAGGGGTGCTACAGGATGCCATGCAATGTTAGCACTGTTGGGTGTACACATATGATTCATGTGATAAACCTAACAAATTCAAATAATCCAAAGTATTAAAAAAGTTCTGTGTGGGGAGGGGGCAGCAGCCTGGACCCCAACACAGAAAACGAGCCCCACTCAGGTGGGTCCTAGATTCATTTGGGGTGGGGGTGGAAATGGAGGGGTAACTGCATGCTGAAAGGACTGTGTGGCCCCTGCTTGTGGTTTCTAGAGGGCTTGTGCTCCAGGGGTCCTCCAAGAGCTCTATGTTTTTTCAATCAGAAGCATAGCATTACCCCTTCCCCAGCACCAGGCTACCCCTATGTTTCCACCCTTGGGCCCGTATGAGCCTCTATACATCTAGATGCCTGGAGGTTAAAGTGCATGTAGAATGATCTAAGTGTTCTGTCTGACCACACTATGTAATGTTTTGTTTTGTTTTTAAAGCAGGAAGCTGCTGAGATCTTATATGGCTCCTATCTGACAACATGCACCACCAGTGGTTGCTGTTAGCTGCATGCTTTTGGGTGATATTCATGTTCATGGTTGCTAGCAAGTTCATCACATTAACTTTTAAAGACCCAGATGGTAAGTTCAAGTTTAATTAAATTTGTGTAACACAGAACATTGCTTAACGTTGTGTCCAAAAGTGGCAGTGTAATTGTTGTGCTCATCAGGGATCCCAGTGCAATGTTTAGCATTTTTATGTAGGAAGATTTGAGAATGGAGTGGTATGTTCTGTGTATTACCAGTGTGCAACAATGCTAACACTTACGCAGTTTGCATTCTCATCAATAAAGATGTAAAAAACTAACACTGCTACCAGACTCCTAAACTTGGGAACAGATGGGATCTCATTTTGCAATTCTGCCTTGTGATATCCAGGTTCTCAAATCAATTCTATTCAGTATTATGATGCTTTTTATGAGTTCAGTAGAGTTACATGAACTGTTTTACTATTTCTGAACTTCACGTGGATTTTTTTGTGCCATTTAAATACTTGCCCTTCCATTCTAATTTTTAGAAAAGACCATAACAAAATTGGATTTGTAGTGCACTTAACCTCACTTCGTTTGCCTTGCTGCTTACTTTCAGATTTATCTTTGGCTGTGTGAATGACAAACAGCTGATAAACTTTTGCTTAGCCTAAGTAGCCCATATAGTATTAGATTGATAAGACATTTAAAGCCCCTTGATAACACCACCCAGCATGCCACATTCTCTCTGTGTACTTGTGAGTTGCTGTTATGAAGCAGACCAGCAGGGAGTATATGATGAAGGCAAGGACATGATACGCGAATATTGTTTCGGAGTGTGTTTGCATTGTCAGAAAACATCTGTATTTCTGTATCTTCTTAGAAATGTAAATATAGTTTTGAGGAGCAAAATCATCAATACAGTTCAATGAGTGACTCGTCAATGGACAAATGCCACACTTCAGTGTGACAAACCTAGTGGTTTCTGCAGTCTTATGAAACAAGGCTTACAGATTGTTTGTTGGATAAGTAAATCTCTTAACTTAAGACTTTTTAGGAGCTCTGTTACAGCTTCTGCAAATGAGCTGATCTCAGTTTAAGTAAGTAAATGTTTGAATCCTTTATACTATGCCAGTTCTTACTTCCCAGCAGTTTCTTCCAACTAGTGTTCATTTCCAGCAGCGAACATGAAAAGAGTTTATATGCCATTTATTATTTATTTGTTTCAGTCTTTTATTTGGAATACCCTCTGCATTATTTTTGTTTGTTTGTTTGTTTGGACACCATCAGTTTTTTCCCATTTTTTCTCTTACCATTCAATACTGATTCCTCCCTTCCTTGAATTGTTACTGGAGCAGAGAATGGTGCAATTCCCCAGGCTCCAATCCTGCAAACACTTAAGCACACAGTTAACTGTACACAAAGTAAATAGTGCTATTGATTTCAGTTGGACTAGACATGTTGAGCATGTGCTCTAAGTCTTTGCAGAATCAGACCTTTGCTTATTTTATTGAGTAGCTGATACTGGAGATAATACTGTTGTGTGAGGACAAGCGGGAACAGTAAGAGTGAGGAAAAGGCTGCTGCAAAGAGAACATGTTGTTTTGTGTATGCCTACAAAAGAACGACTGGGGAAGGAAGAAGGAAAGCAATATTGATATACTCTAATTTTTTATTATTTGATACTGATAGAAAAATGGTATAATGCCTTAGCACATGTGAGTAATGTTATCTGACTCTCTAAAGTGAAAAGATGTCAACTCTTTAGTGGGAGGGAGTAAAGGTAGAGAATATTCATAATATTTTAAATTAATCCTTTTTAACAAACCAGATTTGTTTTGTCTTTGTTGCTTTAAAATTATTGCTTTTTAGGTCCTTTTATTTCTCTGTGGTTGCCAGCTCTCTGGGTTGGTATTTTTACTGATGTTTTGGAAACTGGGCCTTGGTCCTGGGATGACTGTATTTTGGTTTGGGTAGACTGCTTTGCCTGCTCAGATTCTTTGGTTCAACAGTCCTTGTCCAGGATGCTAGTTGTAGAATTAGGGCTGTAGTATGGAAATGATTCCCAGGGTTCCACTTTTGTTTCCAGTGAAATGTGATTCACGGTGTCTTTTTTACTTTGACTTTTCTGTTCTATCTGTCTATATCCTCAACAATAAATTTCTTCCTTTCCTTTCACTTCCTTGTTTTTACATATTTGTTTTTTATTTTGTTTCATAAGGAAGATACAGATTCACATATGTGCATGCATACAAGCACACACATACAGAAGCAGTTATTCTCAAAAGTAATCTTACTCAGCTAATGAAGATTCCAGTTATTTGCATCTATTTTTATTTAGCAACTAGGTCTGGAATAAAACTGTCAACTGTCCTTTGAATTGGAGTTCTGCTTTTCACATTCTACTGAGAGTGGCATTTTTTACCTCTATTTTTTTTCTTCTAAATTGCCTAAGCCAGTATTGTTCTTCATTCAGGCTGTGCTACATGGTATGCTGCAGGCTGATTCATGGGGCCTAGAGTAGAGAAGCAATTCTTGCCTTTATTTGTCAAAACACTGGCTCCTCTGCATCCTCAGACTTTGGAAACCCAACCTTTCTGTGCAAGAGGGATGAGGTAGCAGACTGATGCATAGTTTATTTTTTTTTCTGCTCCTCACCTTGGTTATTTTTACCTTTGGCGTCCAAACGTCTCCAAACTTTACCCCTTATACATGTGAGCACATAGTGTTTGGGCAAGCTGCATGTGGATGTGTGCGCCATAATACAGAGGGGATTCAGATTCCCTATGAAGACTTCTCAAGCATGTGTTTCTCATGCATGAATACTGTGGTACAGTGCTCCATTCCACGTTGGATCTAGTATGCCAGTGTGAATGGGAGGAGGGAACAAGATTTGCTTTCATGTTGGACATATTGGAAATCTGGGCTGAAGCTGCCAGGCTGAAGTTCAATGCCCACAAATGCAAGATGCTACATCTTGGGGAGAATAATCAAAATTACAGATACAAAATATGTGACACGTGGCTGGATGGCAGCACTATGGAGAAGGATCTGGGAGTTTTGGTAGATCACAGACTCAATATGAGTCTGCAGTATGATGCAGCTTCACAAAATAAAAATGCAGTTTTGGTATGCATCACTAAAAGAATTAAGTACAACATATGGGAGGTGATAGTGCCTCTCTACGGGGCACTAGTTAAGCCTCATTTATTGTGTGCAGTTTTGGGGTCCACATTTGAAAAAGGCCACAGAGAAGTTAGAGACGGTCCAGAGGCAGGTGACAAAGATGATGAAGGACTTGGAAAACAAGTCAAACAAGGAGAGGCTGAAGGAGCTAGGCGTGTTCCGTTTCTGGAAAAGGTGCTGAAGAGGGGATATGATAGCAGTCTTCAAATACTTGAAGGGCTGCCATGAAGAAGTTGGAAAGCACCTTTTCTTTCTTGCTGTAGAGAGGAGGATGTGGACCAGTGGCTTGAAGATGCAGAAAAGTAAGCTTAGATTGGATATCAGGAAAACCCTCTTCACTGTAAGAACAGTGAGGCAGAGGAATAGATTGCCTAGGGAAGTTGTGGACTTTATTATTGGAGGTGTTCAAGAAGAGGTTGAAAGGCCACTGGTTGGAAATTATCTAGGGGTATCTGCGCATAAATTCTATGGGTATTTTCCATGCCTCTGGGCTTTGCTGGTTGCCAAATGGGGCTGGGAGGGAATTCCAGTCTCTTCCCCAACCCCCATGCTCCTTCATGTGTCAGGGGTTTTTTTAAGCCTTCCTCAGAGGAACTAGGTGTTGACTAGGGCTGTGCGAAGCTTCATAGTTTCATAGTTTCTAGGGTTGGAAAGGACCTGAACAGATCATCAAGTCTGACCCCCTGCCCTGGGCAGGAATGAGTGCTGGGATCATAATACCCCAGCCAGATATCTATCCAACCTCCTCTTGAAGACCCCCAAGGTAGGGGAGAGCACCACCTCCCTTGGGAGCTCATTCCAGAGCTTCGCAGCCCTAACCATAAAGTAATGCTCCTGATATCAAGCCTGAACCTACTCTCAATCAATTTGTGGCCGTTATTCCTTGTTATCCCAGGTAGTGCCTGGGGGGAACAGAGTCTCACCTATTTTCTGCTGGTCCCCCCTGGTGAGTTTATAGATGGCCACCAGATCCCCTCTCAGCCTTTTCTTGTGGAGGCTGAACAGTTTCATGTCCCGTAGCCTGCACTCACAGGGCCTGCCTTGCCCCCTGATCATGCGGGTGGCCCTCCTCGGGACCC